TAGCATCCAGGGTATTTGAACACACACAGAATCAGGTGATTGAGATTTCACACTAAAATCACATTATTAAGGTAACATTATTCTCTGTGCATAAACTTGAGAGTGTGGTCAAATGGGGCTTTGAATTTATTTAGTCAATTGCTTCTAGCACCTGTTAGACCTGGTTAGTCTATAGGTCCTGGTTCTTGATCTACATTGGAAAGTACACAATTTACGCAGTTTTCGTGAATTAGCAGGCATTGCTAATGAGACAACCTCTCATTTGATTGAAAAAATTTGCAGGTCACCAGATGTTGCTTGGGAGAATCCAGTTTTAAGGGCAATTTGTGACATAATGGTGACACAGCTGAAGTGCTAATGTGGGGACTCAAGTTCATGCTTCGGAAACAGGGCAGGTGATAGAATTTGATTTCAATTAATAAGTCTGGAATGTAAAGTGCATCTCAGCAATGGTGACCATGACAGTTATCATGTATTGTTACAAAAAGCCATCCAATTCACTAATGCCCTTTATGAAAGGAAATCTGTGATTATTACCCAGCCTGAATTCCAGGTGACTCCAGACCGAGAGTGATTTTTTTTTTAATTTGTTTACTGGATGAGGGCATCACTGGCCAGGTCAGCATTTATTATACATCCTTAATTGCCCAGAGGGCAGTTATAAGTCAACCACATAGCTGTGCGTCTGGAGTCACATGCAGGACAGACCAGGTAAGGATGGTAGTTTTCCTTCCCTAAAGGACATTAGTGAACTCGGTGGGTTTTTTCCCAGACAACCGGCAGTGGTTTCATGGTCATCATCAGACTCTTAATTCCAGATATTTCCTGAATTCAAATTCCACTAGCTGTCATGGCAGGATTTGAACCCAGGTTCCCAGAACATTACCTGTGCTTCTGGATTAACAGTCCAGGGATAATACCACTAGGCCACTGCATCCCCTGGCCTTGCTAGCAATATCTGTATCCCATAAACAAATACATATTTTTTTTAAAAGTTACAAACAAATTAAAGACTTAGATGGATGAATAAACTATTGTTTCCTAATGGAAATGAACTTCCTATCTTCAGCCAATGATGCATAATTTCTGCTCCTTTCCACCCCATCCCTAAGCCAAGTGGATTTGAGCAAAGCAGAGCCTTCTGAAACAGTGATTTCTGGAGAAGTCTAATTAAAACATTCTGATTTGTACACAGTAGTGAGTCAGCATGTAGGGGACAAACATCTTCTGTGATGTCTCGCTTTAAGAGTCATATTCTGCATTCGTCTGTCTCATCACCCGAGTGATCCTTGTTCCATGCCAAAGTGCAAAGATGCACGTTTTGCATTGCTACTAAAAATAGCTGCCAAAGTCCTGACAAAACCTCCAAAGCACCAAGCAGATCTACATGCTGCTGAGTAACATAAGCTTTTTGCCTTCAGAACACCACATTGGTGTTATACAGTAATAATAAGTCTGTGCGGAAGTGAGAGAAAAAAATGGTCAGACTGCCACTTAAATGCTGCAGGACAGACTTCCAACAGTTCTGAAAGAAGAATTATGATTTTTGAGGAATTTATTTTTTGTAGAATTTTGGAGCAAATATTCTGTACAGAAAAGACATCCTGCATCATAACTCTGATTCCTGGGATGATGGGAGTGTCTGATGAGGAAAAACTGAGGAGACAAAGTCAGCATTCTCTGGAGTTTAGAAGGATAAGAGGTAGTTGCACAGAAAGTTACAAAATTCTTAAAGGGAGAGACAAAGTAGATGCAGAATGGATGTTTCCCCTAATTGTGAGTTCTAGAACCAGGTGACTGTCTCAGAATAAATGAGATGTTGAGACACTAGAACAAAGGTTGAGATGCCCATAAGGGGACAAAGAAGAAATTAGAATCCTGAACAAAGAACCCTATATGGAGATCAGTACTGAAAATGCAATCCATACTGGTAGGTTTAGAATTAGAATTTATTGTCACATGTACTTTAGTACAGAAGTACATGAGTACAGTGAAAAGCATGCAATGTTGTCATTCTTAATGCCATCTTAGGTACAAAGGTAACTATGTATAAAATCTTAGGTACAAAGTAGAAAAATAAAGAAACAAAGTTAAATGTTAAACATTACAGTCCCCCTTAGTATAAAGTAGAAAAAATAAAGTTCAAAGTTCAACAGTCTTTCTTAAATGCTTAGCCATGCTGAGCTCACAATCCCTTCAAGGGCTCAATACAGACTCCAATAGAAAGACACAGAGACCCCATAAAAGCCATTTACAACTGAGATAAGGAGAAATTTCACTCAGAGAGTGGCAAATCTTTGGGGTTCTCTATCCTCAAGGTCTTGTGGAAGCTCAATCATTAAGTTCAAGTCAGAGATTGAAAGATTTCTAGTTATTAATATTAGCAAGGTAATGCAGGAAAATTAAAATGAGGTAGCTGGTTAGCCAAGATCTAGAATGATGGAAAATGCTCAAAAGGTTGAATGGCCTACTCCTGTTTGAATATTCTGATTTCACTTAATAAGTTACCCCAATTACACTCCAAAAGGAGCAATCCAACCATAATACAATCCTATCTAAATATAAATAAGAAACAGAAAGTGCAGACACCAATAGAGAAGGAACGACATGAATATATGCCAACTAAAGGTAGATAAACCCTATTCAGATAAAAACAAATGGCTACGCCTTATAGATACTCATATAGTCATAGAAATACATCAATATAAATAATAAAACTCCATTCAGAATCCATTACAAGGATGCACACATACACTGGAAATGATCACATCACATCACATCACACCACATCATGTCAAATAGAGTTACCACATACAAATACCAGTCAAAAGAATAAGATCTCCATACTGATAGCAGTGCAGTAATTCATGAATAAAGCATAATAGATTCCAAAGACATAGAAAAAATGAGTTCCCATTGATACATTCTAAGAGTCCAGTGACAGATACCAATGCAGAGAGTCAGGTACCATGTGTAACTCTATATGGAGAAATATAGACCACATTCAGTGAACAACGACAGAGAGTGGGACCTTATAAAACTCCAAAATAAGGACAGACACCATCAACATTGCAGGTGTTGACACACTGGAACAAAGAGTGAGATGCCTATATGGGGACCAAAAGAGCAGCTAAGGGTGCAGTTAATAAAAAACATCAGGCTATCAGAATGAATCATTACCTGGCGCTATAGATGCCTCCTCTTATGGATAGAATCTGGCACAGAGAACCCTATGCAGAGTGTGCATCTACAGAGATTAATACTGGAAATGCAATCCCTACTGTACTATAATATTGTTTTAGGCAGGTTTAAAAGAGAGGTAAGAACGAATTACTTCTCTCAAAGGATAGTTAACCTGTGGAACTCACTAACCTGGAATGCAGTAAATGCCAGAACATTAAATAAATTTATGGATGAAACAGATTTTTAATTAATAATGGGTTAAAAGGTTATGGGGAGTGGGCAGGGAAGTAGAGTTGAGGCCGAGATTCGATCTGCCACGATCATAATAATCGGTGGAACGACTCAAGGGGCTGAATTGCCTGCTCCTATTCCTCTTCCTTATGTTCTTATAAACAAAAAGAGGAAACCAATGCAGATTCCAATAAAGAGAGAGACATCGCACAGACCTTTAGTAAATGACAGCACATGGATACATATGTGGAATGACCTTAACCACAGAGGTGCATCTGCAAATGGATACTCAACATAAGTACAGATATCTGAATTTAAGTTGCAAACTCAAGAATGCAACCTCACACTGAAGCCAATAGAAAAACTGTGAGTGCTAATAGAAAGTGAGATATATTGATAACTGAAATGAGTGCATTGTCTTATAAGGTTGGACTACTGGGCTTGTTTCCACGGGAGTTCTGCATTGTCAGGATGCCTTGGCTGAAGTAAGTAGGATCCTGAATGGTCTTCACAAGTTTGATATGGGTCTTTCCTCTTGTGGGTAGGTTCAGAAACTGCCAACATTGTTTTAAATTTGGGAGTTGTCCCTTTTAGGACTAAGGTGAAGAGAACATTTCTCTCTCCGAGTTGTGGGACTTTTGAGCTGTCTACCACAGAAGGTAGGAAGTTAGGAATACTTTTGGGAATACTTTTAAGACAGAAGTATAAAGGTTCTTGTTAAGCTGTTAAGCTGTCAATCAAAATTTATAGGGGTCCGCGACACAGAAGTGCGGAATTGAAAAGACAAACAGGTTAGCCATCATTTTGTCCAAAGTGGAGCAGGCTCCGGGGCCGAATAGTTTAATTCATGGTTTCATGGTGCAAAAAAAAAATTTACAGCTGGGGTGAGTCTATACAATCACCAAGTGTGTGAATTCCTACACCAAAAAGCGAACACCCTCCTCCTCACTCAACATACAAAACCTCTACTACAGCAAGACCTCAAGTAGTAATCTATAACGTGTTGATATGATGGGGGTCGGGATGGGGTGATTTGGAAGAATCAGAGAGCAGCCCTCCGACATAGTGCGCGTCCAAAGAATTGAATCACTGTCGAACAGCATCAGTGCTTCATTGTGGCGCGACTTATTTTACAGAAATCACTTCACTGCGGCACTAACAGATATTTTGCTTATTTGAACATGAAGTTCACGCCAACTTTTTTTAATACGTTACAAATACGTAACTGGAACGTTCTCGATTAAACATACTCAAGCCATATGGTTCATATTATTCTCGGCAAGTATTAACGCTTCCCGTGTTTTGATGCTGACAGTAATTTTATCAAAAGTGGACATCTTACCTCATTGACCAGATTCAACAGGCACGTCAATTATTTGCAACCGTTTTGTTAGAATAATAAAGAAACTTTGAGTTGATTCCAATAATAATATACAGAAACGTTGCAAAAATAACAAATTAAATCTTTAATGTGACATAGTCTACTGTAAAAGCGTCTTTTCAACTTTAAACACGCAGTTTAAAATATATACCATTCGGTAACAAGTCAACTACTTTTTCAATTTAAAGTCTTTACATGAAATTAAACGTGCACACATACGCAATTAGATACGATTAAATAAGTCATCATTCGGGTTAGCAGTGATGGCGGAGCTAAACACAGCCAGATGCAATAATTGAATGATTTATCAGAAACGCTGTTTTTTTTGCCGGTGCTGGTACGTTTAAAATACACATTAACTTTGGAAAATAAATGTGGACTTCATATGCAAAACGGACGAAGAAATTTCGAGAATTACCAAATGGCATTGGAAACAGTGAGTCAGTAAAATTGATTCAAACCTGTTGTTCGCAGTTAGGATACAAAATACATCAATTTCGAAAGTTACACGCAAATGTATAATTTAATGTAGTTAAGGTAAACAGCTTCAAATCTCTAAATGTGCATCATGGTGAGTAAATTAAAAGTCATATAATCATTCTTGTCATTTATTATCTACGATTACTGCGGATCTTCCACGTGGTTTTCGAAACAGTTATATTTAGTTTGAACTGACCATTGAAGCTATTTTATTGTAATGCGGAATTTGGAAAGCATTCCGAAGGTGAGTCCCTCGCAGTCTCCTGTGTACCTGAGCATTGAAAACACATTGGGGTTTATCCCGTTAGAAATAAATGCAGCGCGCAGTAACGAGGAATCTGATCACATCATCCTCGCTTCGCTCACTCTCTCTTACACACGTACACTGTTTCTCTGTCTCTTTTAATTAAGAATCTATTTACATTATCAGTCGAGGGAAAACAGTGTAAGATGACATTTTCTTTTCACTTGATTGCCCCTCCTTGGACTCCTCCTCACGTCACGAGTCAGCAAACTCCATAAAACCTTGTTACCTTGAAGCGGAGCACACACACAGTTAATGCAATCATTGAAGTCATCTAAATTATATTAAACACATCCAGTAAAGGGGGATTTTACTGTTTACTGTTTCGATATAATTGAATTTACGTCTGCTGTCAGGAGCCAGTTATTATTATCTCAGAGGCGAACAAACACCACAACCAATCACATTACAATGCGTTCATTTACTCCACATCTCCGAGACAATTGCATCGTCACAATTTTGTCCTGATATTCCAGACCATTAAATAAACTACCCTAATCCCTAACAGCACTGGCAGAAAGAGATTACGCCAAATGATCAGCATTAGGATTAGTCAAATTTTATTTTTTTTTGGCTGATATACTTGATGCTATATGATTTCTTGGCCATTTTATTCCAAAGATTATTTTTAATGTTTAATTGTAAAAAAATCAGATTAGAATTGATTACCACGTCATTGTATTCCTGAAACGAATCTGGAATGGGCAGCTTTGTAGTTGGGAAGCAGAAATTTCAGAATGTGCCTTAAACTCACTGTTGTAAAATCCTTCTGTTGTCAGGGTCTGGCCGAGAAGACAAAGTAAAGTCACTCCACACGTACGGTTCAAGATAACCTCTTGCACTGACGGAGGTGCGTTTATCTACAACAGAAACATTTCAAATTGCAAAGGAGGTAAATCTAATGAAGGGATGGAGTGAGATTTTTCTTGAAATTACGGGGGTGGAGAGGGAGAATATTTTTAAGTGCATGCTCCACTTGGAATCAAAGATATGGGCAACGCGAAATCAAAGATATGGATAAAGAATGACCCGAGCGCTACATCGCATGGTTTCAATGCCGTTAACAGTCTCTAAAATGTCTCATCCAAGCAGCAGAGAGACTGACAATTGATTGGTGTATCGCAACCTTTTAAAAATGCATTGATAAGCTTTTTGCTACATCTACGGTCCTTTTACATTTATGTCATACTGCTTGCTAAATAGTTTGCAAGTTATCCTCACTTGCCTTAAACTATCGAGGCGTTCTGTTACTTCAGTTGAAAACGCGCAGAGTTCTTGCTACAGAGTTAAATGGCTTGGTTCAAGTTATCTCCCAGGTCGGACAGGAGAATGGAAAAATAATAGCAACGGGTCAACCTGACCCAAGAACACCACAGTTATTTTCCACTTCGTTTCGACTCCTGGCCCTGCTTGAAACAGTCTCTATGAGGAATTTTACAAGGATACAGACATGCACACACGCATTCAAACACACGCCCTCATAAAAACATACTTACATATACAGGTACATACAAACACGCGTACATGCATATACATACAAACGCACGCATACATACAAATACTCAAAAAAGATACACGCACATACAAACAAATGTATATGCAGGCATGCAGACACACACGTACAAGCATAGATCATGGATATTTAATTCGATCTCAATCAACGTCCTTGAAAAACTCTTGGTAACTATTAGATTTTTTTAGCCAAAATGATCACGAATTAAATGTGAATGGACAAGAGTGAAGCCCCAGTTTTTACTTTCTGGTCTAAAACGCATGCGCTATAATTATTCCGCCGAAAAGTGACAGCATAGACAATATCTTGGCAAATTGTGGCATAATGATTTAATGAAGTCCTCTAAGCAAATCACGGATGATTTTAAAATTGGAATGCACTGATTCTGATATTTCTGTTTCCATGGTCACTGCGGATAAATCATTCCAACGCAATCATTCAGTGCACGAGAAAGGATGATTTATTTCCCGTCTAGTTTTTTTTGTAAGACTGCGAATTTGGAATGCACTTACATATCCAAGAGTTAGTCGCATGCAAACTAAATTGAAATGTTGAATATACAAGGCGAGCTCACGTTATATTGTACACTCCTGTTCTGGCTTAAACGTTAAAAATTGAAATATTACAAATCAAAGATACATATAATTTCAATATTACCGTTTCTATGTTTGTTATATATACTCATCACATGAAATGGCAACATGCATATTTAGATAGATATGCCCAGGTTTTATATTCGGAAGTTCTATACCCCTTTGGTTTTACAAAAGTGAAGGAGAACTCTTACTTCAATCAAACGAGAGTGAAATTAACAATTCAGAACGCTCTAAATGGGCGACAGAACTTTCGAATAGAAGCTCTATGGACTACGAAATGTGGCCATTCTGTGCTGAATATTTACAGGGAGTGCTTGACTAGGCCTCTGGCTCTGTAAAGGCGGAGGTTTCACTGTTCACTCAATTGAAGATTGAAAAATCAAATTCGCATTAAATAGGAATAAAATGAGGAACTTCAAGCAAGGACGTTGATAGTAATTTCGATATCAATAAATAAATGGTATCTATAAATTGGAGATGCATTGCCCGGTTTCATATTCCACTCGAAAGACTAAAATGCATTGGGCAGAATGAGCAAATCCAACATAAATGCAATGTTCTAATTATTAAAACGGATCCCCCGTCAGCAGACAAATATTTTGATCTCTGTCTGTTGCGTCCATTAATGTTACACCTACCGATCTTTTTTTAAAAGAAATGACCTCTTAAAACTGTATGGTTTTGCTAAGTTTTCCTTTGCGTTTGCATCAAATTTATTCTCAGCGCCTAACGCCAGTGTGTCTTAGGAGAACGCGAGCTGAAAGACAACCTTAACTTCTGAAATACATCAATTCATGTTCATGTTTTGCTGTTTATTTCACATCTGAGCACGTGTGTTGGCCTTCAGAATATTATTTTTCAATAGCCCCTTTTGGTGCGGTTAAGAAGAACAGACGCGTGACTAATATCTTGACATTGTTAATTCTCCTGAAATTGGATTATGAAGGCTAACATGAGCTGGGCGCCTGTCTCTTTAAGACACAATGTCCTGCTATGTAAATACAGTGGAGGAGGAGTGGGTGGAGGGCCGGAGTCACGTGATCTCCGAGCTACAATTAGTTCGGGCAATTGGCAGGGTTCAAGCGGAGAAAAAGCCAGCCAGCTTTCTGAAATAAGTCACCAATCAAGATAGGAAACAGGTCAGTCCGTATCAGAGCCACCCGGAGCAACAGTTCCTTCACCGTTGCACACCGGTACAGACCAATAGTACAGTAATCTCCCCCAGACAATACTTTTGGTAATTGTTTTTTTTAAAAGAAAACGTTCCTCCTAATTATTGTTTCTTGCGACTGGTCGCGCTGGATTCGATTTGTAAGTATTCCCGGCCAAAATACTTCGCAAAACTGTGAATCCGTCGGTTGTAGGTTTTTTTTTCTCTCTCTCCCTTTGCGCCCTCCTCGCCCTTATCTGTCATGTTACCTTATCTCCCAGATAGAGGATAAATGCAATGCCTTCACTAACGCGCTATTAACTTGGGGGCCGGAGCAGCTATCGAAACCGTTTTGTGATTTGTGTGTTCGCAGATAATAGAAACTAAACGCCAGCTCGCAAAAAAAAATTATTATATATATATATATGGCGCCTTCTGTTAAAGGTATAGGCAATCTCTCATGGGAATCCTACCTGGGCCTGGGCGCAAAAATCTCTGGGATGTTCTGCCACACACGGACTGGGAGCGGGGAATCGCTCACTTCGAGTACCTGTGTGCAATTTATCCCGAGGATTATTGTCGAGCGGAATATCCGGGTCGAATGGAACTTTTCTGCGTTGAGGCCAGCACACGAGTGAAATTGTTTCTAAAACGCTCTTTTCATCTACTTTATGTGGAATCGCGCAAAATGTCCATTTAATGCGAATTTCAGAGAGGTTCCCGCCCAGCTCCCACCCTGGTCGATTCTGAATTGGTTCAACAGCTTTATTAAATAAAATGACAATCATGTTCCGAATGTAAGGTGTCATGACGTGAAGTTACGGAAAGGTTTGCAAAGTTAAACGGAACTTTCCAGCAGGTACTTTATATCTGAATGGAATCGAAACGAGTGGCAGAATTTGTCTTGGGGATGTTCTGCCAATGGCCTGTAACTGATGCCTTGTTTGTTTCAGGTCAATTCTGACTCGGGGACAGAGAGCGCGGACAGACGCGAACAAAAGGCTATGATCACTCGCTGGTGTCTGTTTGACTGAATCGTCTTGTTGATGAATAATACCGGCCTGAAGAAGATTTCAGTACATTCCGAACTCAAAACCTTCCTACGTGCTTTTTCGCAAAGCGCCAGGACCTTCCACCCCGCAGAAAATGTACCAAAGTCTGACACTGGCAGCGAACCACGGACAGCCCAGCTATCCCCATGAGGTTTCGGGCAGCTTCATGCACTCTCCGACCGCCTCACCTGTGTATGTGCCGACCACCCGTGTCCCCTCCATGCTCCCCAGCATACCGTACCTCCAAAACTGCGAGTCGGCCCATCAGAGTCACCATCTGAGCAACCCGACCGGCTGGCCGCAACCAGGTACCGACAGCTCCGCGTTCAACCCCAGCAACCCTCATCCTTCTACCACCTTCTCGTATTCTCACAGTCCCCCCATGAGTCACGGGGCCGGCAGGGAGGCGGCTTACAGCAATCCCTTGGTCATCAGCGCAAGTGGCCGGGAACAGTACGGCAATGCCCTGGTCAGATCCGTCAATGGATCTTACTCCAGCCCGTATCCCACCTACGTCGGCCCAGAGATGACTTCGACCTGGCCACCTGGGCCTTTCGAGAGCAGCATGATTCACAGTCTCCAGGCCAGGCAGGTCTCTATGTCTGGGAGGAGGTCCAGTCTGGGTAGGTCACCAACATCTCTTTTCCGATTTGCTAGACAACCCAATAAGACACAGGCGTTACTGTACAAGGAGCGTATCAAAAATGCAAGTGTTGGACCGAAGGGCAGCGGGCTAGTCTCCAAATAGAATGTAACTAAATAGTGTGCATCTGCTTCGGGCGGGTTAGGCCCTTTAGCCACTTGTGTTGATGCTGGTTGACAGTACGGTCCACGTGTGAGTCAGGCTGAGTTTTTCAGTCAACAGTCGTGATGATGACAAATAGGGACAGCATTTGGAGCTCTACAGCAAGGAAGCATGACCTCAGGGGCAGCAGCGTTTGGTAATTACTTGAAATTACATTCACCCAGGGAGTGTCATTTCATTTTAAAGAAAACAAGTCTTGGGCCACATTTTCACTCAATTTCGGGCGATTGTTTTCTGATGCCGGTGAGCAGTTGACATCAGTCATCCAAACCCATTGCTCAATGACATGTTATTCGGTAATGGCGCAACTGTTTCCAACTTATGACTTCAGTTCAGATAATCGTTAATGATTAAAAGAGTTTGGAGATTCTAGAAACCCATTTGTCTATCTAATTTGTCTAGTATGCATCCTGAGATCAACAAAACGCAAAGATTCTTATTGCAACTGACTGAAACCAGTATTAATCTCTGTTCACGACATTCTGTTTTAATGGATAGAAAGGGGGAAAAAGACAAGTTTTTTTTTAGTGCATTGAGCCTCATTGTATTGATTGAACCATTTCAGGCTTATATTTGCTCAAATATAGATGTATCACATGGATTGCAGACAGGTATCTCATATGCAACCTATTCAATGTGCATTCAGTCAACCCATTGAACTTGCCTGCATTTGCATTGATCTGTTACATTTGGAACAGACATCCCCTACAAATGCTGCGAATCTCTGATAATGCAACACTGAAAGAGGATATTTATTTTTTCGTAAAATCTGATGCAGCTAAGCAGAAATGAACCGAAACGCTTTAAATTCGATTAGATTTTACGACGTGCAAAGGAATAATTCCGACCATCTGAATTCCTGCTGGTACTTTCAGTTTCCATCAATTTCATTTTGCTCCTTCTGCCATCTCTGGGTTTGTTTTATAATTTTTTGACACACCTACGTATTTAATTCTGTTTCTTTTAAGCCCAGCGTTGTTTTCTCATAGTTGCCTCATATTCCAAGTGAGAGGACTCGGCCTCTAGGATTCTTTCCAGAGGAAAAGGTGTATATCTATGCTTGCAACATTTGAGCAGTCCCTGGGAGGAGATGGGAAGTGGGCTCCAATTTAACTCTGGAGCAGTTAACCAAAAGTCCTTTTAGACATTTATAGTATATACCTAAGGAAGCTTTTGATTGGAGCTTGTAACACATTTCATGGATACGAATTAATCAAGGGGTTACAAGGCCGAAACGAAAAGATGAATCCTACCTTATTCTTGGTTCAGGTGTTAAGAGTATTTTAATTGACAGTATATTAATTAAAAGTCTTTTAAAAGAGAAGTCACATCCATTTCTTGCATTTATTCACTCAGATTTTAATACCTGACTTGCATATTTAAACAATCTTACTGCATCTGCTCTGAAAACGAGTCAATATTTAGGGATCAGATATTACGATCATCTTCCTTGGAGTTGTGTTTATAACAAGAGAACGTAGCAGCAAACGCCTAGTGAGCATAGAAGTGTTAATTTAGGCTTAGAGGCACCCTGCCCTTCGCATATTAAAATCAGATCGTTCTCTTTTATCCATTTGGGCACCTAATGGGGTGCTGAACTGTTCAAAATCGAATTGATTAGTTGGTCTCATACCTGTTTTATTCAATCCTTATCTCAACAAAAATTCAGTTTAGAAAACGCGAGACTGTAATTTATGTCATCGGCCCCGGCACTGAACAATGGCGATTCCCTGACTCCTCCAGTCATTTTCTAACACTAAACAGTTTTGAGGATGTTTAAAGTAACATTCGAAATTTATGGTTTGCAAGCCTATTAAGCACTTTACTGGATCACATTAGCTCAGTGCAGACTCCTTAAAAAGTTAAGAAGTGCTCTGGCCTCATCTCCAAAACAATCTACAGATACAACCCCTCATTTACTACAGATGAAGAGAGAGAGAGAGACAGTGAAATTTGATCAACCATTTGAAGTATCAAACACACTTCATTACTCGTTAATACCCGGCGTCAACTTAAAGTGTCATAGTTCAGAATTGATGGAAGGGTTTCCCCCGAGAGATTTTCATTGACAAAAAAACTAAATATAATTCATGTCTCTAAGTTATTCAATATTAACTTATTTAAATGATAAACTATGATATAATAAATCTCAGTGACTTAAGTCCAGACTGAAGGACAGTCTATACAATCTTGTTTTCTTTTGCTCAACATATATTATGAATTTTGGTTCTACGCCATCAGCTAGTTCAAAAAGTATTTTACACTGCCAAATATATTGTCAAATTCTTTTGGATCTGTCTGCAGACTTTTAAAGATTCTCATCATAGCAATGCTATGACTCCCAACACAGACCTCGAGCTTTTAGTTTAAATACTAATTGGGATCTCCACACTTGCCGGCAGCACTAAACTTATCAAGGTTAAATTTGTTTGGGGGAAGGGGGTGTTTTCAACGTTCTAAAATGTATACTCATATTATTTGGATGTCGATGTTGTTCACTCACTACAGACACAGACACATGCAAATATAAATCTTGATTTCAGTGAAATTCCTTTTGTAATGAATCTGATGTAAACTTAGCTTCGCGCTTCTTCGGCACTAGAGACAGATTACTGGAACCGCTTCGTTTGATTTGATCATTAAGACGATTTTCGTTCTTTCCAAAAAAAAGCGATAGACGGGGTAAAGCATAACAAAGTGATATGTGTATTTTATATATATATATCCTTCATATATATATATATAAGAAGGGGTTTGTTTATTACACGCTTTGACATCTTGCGGGAATCAATCCAGAATGTTGACCTGCTTTCCGTCCATAGGCTGTTATTTGTCACCCGAGTGTAATAGGTGTGATTGATAAATCGAGTAGTGGATCACAGAGCGTTCTGTAACACAAATGAGCATTCCATCAGTCTTGTGAGCCAGTCTCCTTGTCGCCACCAGTCAACATCCAAAAAGACTTTGATGAAAAACGGGAAAGTTTGGCAAAGCGTTAGGATTTCTATCGCCGACCTTGCTCCGAAAATGCCCACAAAGCAATCTTTTTTTCTGTCTCTCTGCTCCTCAGAGATCATTTCTGCCTTTCATTAAAAGACATTTTTACAGGGTAGGGCAACTATGACACGTTTGGATGCCATTTGATTTCCATCGGAAGAAAATTTATCGCTCCTAGAACTGTTCCCCCGCAACCAAAATGACCATATGGATTCCTCAGACATATTGAACCACACGACATACAGAGTTTTACAGTGTGGACATCAGATATGTATCTTAGTCCCAGTGAATTATATACACTTATTATGATCCCGCATATCATTTCAAACATTCTTGCAATGACGTTTTGCCATTTACTTGGAAAATACACTGAAAAAAAGTGCATTTCAGAGATGATTATCGTTATTGCTACTTATTGGAATGGAAAGTCGAGACTTTTGTCTGCAATTCTCTGCCAGACGCTTGGGTTTAATTTCTTTTGCTTCCCAGACAGGCAGTAAAAGTAAAGATTTATTCTTGCTCTAATATTTTTTTTTAAATATTTTAAAATGCTCAGATTGCCTGGTTTCCCCTTTTATCCCAACAACGTATAGAACCTCTAACACTAAGAATTGTTCGACCGTGCAGTTTCTGGGGGAATAAAGGGTAATAGAGGGACAAATTCATCCACTTTTGAAATTAAGAAATCTGGTTGAATAATCGGTCATATTGGCCCATGATTGATTCCTTTCCCCTCGGTTCCACCCTCCACACCCCCAACGTGCACCCCCCCTTCCCCACCAAAGCTCGCCCGCGCGCGCGCGCACACAGACACAAGCAAACCAGTCCTTCTCATTGTGCATCCAGCGAAATATCAGAGGAATGCAGAAATGTCTATGCTGTGCAACTTATGCCCAACGCAATGAAGTATCTCACTGTGCATATATGACAACATGGTTCAGCTACCATCAATTTTGTTTGTCAGATGACCCGAGCTATCTTTGAATTTGAGGTCCAGAGGGTCAATAGCCGCTTTGAAATCGGTTAGCCCCACAAATAAAAGTCGTGGTGAGGAATTTGGACTGATGGAACGCCTCAGATACTAGGGAGAATCTTATTTTGTCAAATGCCCAGTGTTGAGTGGTGTTGGAACTGAATGATCTGGACACTTTGTGCCAGTTGTTGGCAGTTTGCGAGCGGACCATTCAGTGATAACCCAGAACTCTAGTTCAGGTTGGCATGGAAATGAAATTGTTTTCCTTAAAATGTTCGAGACAGTTGCCCTCTGTTGCTTCCAACTATGAAGTGAATGTAAGATAACATTCTCCAGGACCAAGCAAGGTAATAAATCATGTAATTTATTAGAGGTAAAACTTATTATTTAAAGATCACTTTTTTTTAACAGGATGCATTTTTCCCGACAGTCACAAATGTCTATTATGCAAACCAGATGTCACTGATTTTCCCTTTCACCACCACCCCCCAACTTTTTTTTATGATAGAGATGTTGGAAGATTTCCCCGAGGGCCGGGAGTGTGTGAATTGTGGGTCCATGTCTACTCCGCTCTGGAGACGGGATGGGACAGGCCATTATCTGTGCAACGCGTGCGGATTGTACCACAAGATGAACGGGATGAACCGACCGCTCATTAAACCACAAAGGAGATTGGTAAGCAGGCCTGATTGATCTTGACTCGTCAAGAAATATGCCCAACAGTCCAGAACGTCTCCCCAAGCTCCACTCCTTTGTCCGTCTTACAGCCCACTGTTTTGTAAAGTTGAACAAGTCGAGGCGGCCCTTTCCATATTGCCTCTTCTCCACCCCATATAAGGAAAACTTAAAATAAAAAAAAATGAAAGGACTTTGTTCCCATCTGAACCTAGTTGAAAGATTATTTCAACTGATTATCTTTCCGGTTAAAAACCTAAGACTTTTCCCTCTCCTTTGTTGCCAGAAAATGTTTAGTGGTGGCCTGGAGTGTAAATCAAAGCTTCATTAATTTTGGGATGTGAATGTGACAAGAAATTGACAATTGATGGTTGGTTTGGGAGAGTGAGTGAACGTTCCACCACCAAGTAACCAAAGGCAGCCCAGGTTCATTCATTTTCGAGAGTAAATGAAATTTATGTCACATACTGCAGAAAAAAAATGTATTTGACTTTCTGTCTTCTATCAGTATTCTATGTAGAATGGGGCTTCAAAACAAACTCATAATTTTTATGTGTTAAATAACAACACTACATCACAATGTTGGGGGTCAACAACTTCCTTGACAAGGTCAGAGTTGTGAAGAGGCACCCTTCAGAGGCCCATTCCCCATTTTGAATAAACTACTTAGGCCTTGACAATATAAATTATTTTAGCCTTGTGCCTTTCAATAGCAGGAGGGGGACCTTGATCCTTTATCTCAGTGTGAAAATAATGCACACCAGTGTGACTAGGGTCATTTTTGCTGCACAAACCATTTAAGCCTCTAATAGCTGATACCTTGCAAATTAAAATGTAGCACTCGCAAGAAATTGTGAGGTTCCTTTCTCAATATGGAATAAAACACAGTAACACAATGAGACAAGTATTGAATGCAATGCTTTATTATAAAGTCATTAGATATGTTTATATCATCATGAACGTAGTCACAATAAATAAAATTGGCAGCAGGGGAGAGTCATGAACATGAAATGTTAAATTACAGTCTTGTGACAGCCATTCAAAATAATTTTGCCATTTGTTAAGAACATTGCAACAGTGTTGCATTAGAAACTTAGATCATAATAAATAATAAATAGAGATGACTGTGTTTGTAACATTATTGATGGCTTGTGCAAATCTTTTGTTTTATAGTCATCATCTAGACGAGCTGGTTTGTGTTGCACTAACTGCCACACCTCTACTACAACCCTTTGGAGAAGGAATGCTGAAGGGGAGCCGGTGTGTAATGCTTGTGGACTATACATGAAACTTCATGGGGTAATATTTCTTTACTTTTTGAATTAAATAGATCTGATACTATAACACCTTGCAAACTAACAGCAAACTATAAACATTATATTAATGCTAGTGCTTCTTCCCAATAATCAGTACCTTTATTAAAGGTTCTTCTTTATTTATTATTTTCAATTTGAATGGTTAAAACTTGTTAAATGGAAACTGTAATGTCAGTCGAAACATTTTCTCCTCTCCACTCAATCATAATTGTGATAAAAGGAAAAGATCATGTTTATTGGACTAGTTCCAATTATAAGTTGGGCGGCTTCACCTTGAGCAGCTTTGTTCTTGTGTTGAAATGTTTTCTTGGAAATGTGTTACATAGAACTGTATACATTATATACCAAAGGACTTGTATTTCCTACTCCCATATATGCTTATCAAACGTCTCCATAGATGTATCTATCCGATACTGCTTAACTAATCTCAGTGGAAATACATATTCACTGCTCTCTGGAGAAAGAAGATCCTTTTGATTTCCCTATTTGAGTACTCAGTGATTATCTTTTATTGATGTCTTCTTATTTTGCTGTTGCCACAAGTGGAAGCATTCCCTCTCTCTATGGAAATTTCATGTAGTTTTAGAAGACTTATTATTACAGACTGCCACCAACTCCTTCCATGATAAAAGAGATCTAGCTTATTCACCCCTTCCTGCCAGATGAAATATCACATTTCTGGTATTATTCTTGTAAATCATGTTCCTGTTGCATTTCTCTGGTGCCTGTAAATCCTTTCTATGACATGGTGACCAGAACTGTAGACAATACTCCCCAAGTATCATTTAATCAAGGCTTCACAGTTGATTGGTATAACTTTCCCATTTTTCATTTCTACCCCCCTTTAAATACATCTTCATGCTCATTTTATTTTCTTAATGTAATTAATAGATGAATAATATTTAAATATAACAAATGAATCCTAGACTATAGCCTTGCCTCTGAATCTGATACTCAGATTCATCTTATTCTCTATCACAAAGGTTTCTGGAAGTTATTCCGATAGCTATAAGAAAGCTGTAGAACTAAGTGAAATAATCAGTGTGAAGTTGGAAACCATCAAGTGTAATATAGATTGCAAAATGTTTTTGAAGTATGGCATGATGTTTCCCTGTAAAGGTCTCTTATATAAAAAATGGTTGTTATTTTGACAGTGCATTGTTTCAAAATCCTTCTTGACAGGTTTTCATGATTTCAGTTTCAAAGTCCAAAGATGTGCAAGTTAAATGGATTAGCATGGTAAATGTTGGGTTATGGGGCTAGGATAGGTATCTGGATGTGATGTTCCTTGAAGGATTGGTGCAAACTTGATGTGCCAAATAGCCTGTTTGCATACTGTAGGGATTCAAATGTGTGTGTATATATATTTCAGGAAGGTATTGACCACTGGCCTGATAACAGACTGTTTCATCAGGTGTATATATCCATGGCATAGGTGCAAATGTGTTAGGTTGGTTTGACATGTGGTTGTAAAGTTGACAGTAATGCTGTAGAATGGAAACTGGTTGCCATGAAATCTGATGAGAGAAGTCAGATTTCTAATTTCATTAACTTGATAGAGTACAGTAAAATACAAAGTTTTGTCTAAGGAGCCTTAAATTTGTAGATTGTACCAGACTGAATGCAATGAAGTATCAACATGTTATATTCCAAAGGAGCCTAGACAAGTTAGATTAAAAGGCAGAGAGGTGGTAAAAGGAGTTTCAACATGGCTGTGACAAATCATAAGATTAGGTGGAGAAAGCAAGAATGTGGATGACAGAACAAATATTTTTATTGCACATGAACTGTGAGATAGGTTATTAACGTGTGTTTTAATGTTTGACGGAGGTGAAGAAAACAAACAAATTGCATACCTCAGAGGTGTCACTTATTGAAGTCATCTTAATCTGACTTTCGTGAAAAAATATCTGAAGGACTGTATCAATTTTTGATTGCCACATTTAAAGGAAATTTAAGATACATTAAATACCTACAGGTTACTTGGTTGATTCTAGGACTTAGAAGGCTATATTATGAGCAAACACTTATCTATATAAATCCTTTACTTTCTGGAGATCATAGAGGCCTTTCAAATTTAACTGACAATTGTAAATTTTGATGCAGGGAAGTTCTTTTGTTAAGCACAGAATTTAATGATGATGGACCACACTTCTAAGTTAAAGTTGACAAAGAAATGGAATTTTGGGTGCCCTGTTTTATAAGGAGGTGTATGATTAGATTATCAGCGGCTGACATGAAACAAAATTCCATGGCAAATATTTTTAGAAAAGGATGAAATGAATTGATGAAATGAATTGCTATTAGAGAAGGAGAAAGAAAACTGTAGTTTCATTATCTTGGTAAGGAAACCTGAGGTTTGACAGGAAGGACCAATTCCTTCTTCCCTAAATAGTATTATGCTATGACAAAAGACAAATTTTAAAAGTACAGTGATATCAATTGAGGTATCAATGTTAGAAAATTCTTACTGTGCAGATTTTGCATAGAACACACAATTTACTATTTGTCGTAGGCTTGTGGAACCAGTCTAATGTAATTGGATATTTCACAGCAAGCAGATAATACAATGAAAGAATCAAGAAGATCACATACATGTGTCAAAGTTTCAACAGAAGTGGAAAAATAAAGACCACACTTGCATTGATATAACATGCCCTCATGATACATCAAACCACTTCACAAGTAATTAATTATTTTTGAAATAAATTCATTCCTATTCAGTAGTTAAACACAGTGACCCAGTTGTTCACAAAAGTAAATGGACTAAATTGCTATTTGGTGGTGAAGAGGTGAATGGTGGTTGGGACATCAGGAGAACTCTGCTGTTCTTCACAAAATGCCATTGCAACAGATTAGGCAATGCCTTGGATTAACATCGTTTTTGTTAGACAGAATGACTGACAATGCGGAATTGACATAATGGCTTCACATTTAGAAGCAGGACTTTAACCTGTAACCACTTGATTCAGAGATGGGAGTACTACCAGTAAACCCAGCTATCTGAAATCTATAAATCCATTACCTAAGGGATCAGATTACCTTCAAAACATTCAAAAGTTTGTCATTTGGATTTGATTTAAAACACAGGCTTTTGGATGTTCTAAATTGTTGAACATAAAGAACGCAAGTCTCAACTTGTTCTTTTTGGTTTTGAAATGAATAACATGCGTCCTTGTTATGAAGACAGTGCAGGAAGTATATCCTTCAATACCTGAGCCTTATGCTGAAATCAGAATACTTCAACATGTCATTCGTACAGCAGAATAATGTCAAGTATTAAGAAATGTTGCACTCAAAGTGGAATCATTAAACACAGATGTTGGAACACAAAAAAAAATCAACCATTATTTCCAACTAATTGGCTGCGCATTGACCTATCTCATACAAACATGGTCTTATTAACAAACCTTATTCAAGTGATGGTGAAAATGAATGTTTTTTGATTAGTTAGAACTGCTAATATTCTTCATATATATTTGAATCATTATCCCACATAAACTATACAAAATGGTAGCAAACAGCTCCTCATACTCTTGTTATGTCAATAGGATTGGTTACTGCAGTCAAGTGACTGGAGGAGTGACTGTCCATAAATATCACAGGTTGACGTGGTACAAGGAGTGCAATCACAGTTGCTGCATTTTGATGAATTGAAGGGGTGTTGACCACAGATGTTCATACCCATCTACATAGAACTTTCAGCATTGCAGTGCCTTGGAATATGATTAAACATATATCGTCAATTTAACACATTTTGATTTCAAAATAATTACCGATAGCAGTTCCATACTGTAAGATTTGTAGCTTGTCTGTGTTGATAGTGAACTTAATGCTCATGAACATCCTGCCAACTTCAAGGCTCAAAGGAGAACAAGCTACAAGTGATCCGGGGTTTGAGCAGGTTCCACAGAAACTACTCCAAAAGCAAAACATATCTAATTTTAATGTGGATTCATGTTGAACTTACTGCAACATGCAAAGTGATATCCTGTGTTTGATATGGGATTACAGTTAATTATATTATTTTCGTATTGTGCAGGTACCACGCCCACTGGCCATGAAAAAAGAAAGCATTCAGACAAGGAAAAGAAAACCTAAGAATGTTACCAAATCCAAGGGTTCCTCAGGTAAAAGGCTTAATTATGCTTCTACATTTAGTCATTTCTCTGTGCTATCCCATCACTGTCTCACCAAGAGAAAGTGGAAACTTTCATTGCCAAGCCAATGTTGCTGGATGATAGGAGCTGCATGCAGGAATTTCTTGCTTCCTACCGACATGTAAGCGATAATATCCAGAAAATGATTTTTCCAGTGCTTGGTGAACATATTGATGTTCCAGAACTGTGCTCCTCTAGATCTTCAGCCAGACTTAACACTCTCCAAAAGTATTCATTCATAATAGTTAAAATTTGATCTTCTTCTTGTACTTTCAGGCTGCATTCTCATTTATTCAATGTAAAATAGTATAACGCACATCGTAAAAGTCACATCCTTTCACATTAATTATACCTCTAACCTTAAATGCGTGCAAAGCAGCTAGAATCATTTTTCTCCAAGCCTCCCATTATCATTCTAGCTTACATCATAGTGAGAAATGGCAGAAACAATATGTAATCAATCTGACATATGTTAATTTGTTGAAAAGGTCTATTAGGATTGGGTAGTTAAGATTAAACAAAGCAAAACATACTGTGTGAAACATTTAAGTAGATGTTTGAGTATATATCATAGAATATTTTTAGATGGTGAAGTATGAAATAAAATATCCAGAAAGGGGTTCTGCACAGATGTGTCTTAAGGAAAGCAAATTAAATCCCTTACCAAACCATGCAGGGATATTTTCATATCTTTTGATATCACAACAGAGATATTCTCAAGTGATATAGAGGAAGCAGATCTTGTATAACACCCTTTGCACACCAAGAGTAATTAGATTTGTTTTTGATAGATTCTGTGATGTAAACACTATTACCAATATGTCCCAGTTATAGGTTAAGCTTGAGTTAATGGTGTTCCAGTCCCAAAGGCAGAACTGAAACCGTGCACCATTCATACTCCTGCTTTCTCCCATTTCCCCACAAAATCACAAATTGTAATTTAAACAGCCAGTCATATGCAGGGGAACCACTTAGAATCCCTACATTTTGGAAGAGGCCATTCAGCCCATAAAGTCTGCACCAACCCTCCAAAGAACATCCTACCCAGACCCAGCCCCCCACCCTATCCCCAAAACCCTATATTTTCCCATAGTTAAGCCACCTAGCCTGCACATCCCTGGACGCTACGGGGCAATTAAGCATGGCCAATCCACCTAACCTGCACATCTTTGGACTGAGGGAGGAAACCGGAGTACCCGGAGGAAACGCATGCAGACACGGGGAGAATGTGCAATCTCCATACATTCAGTTGCCCAAGCATGGAATTGAACCCAGGTTCCTGACACTGACAGGCAGAAATGCTAATTACTGAGCCCCATGCTGCCCTTGAGATTCAGCAGCGCTGGATCATTTTCCATGTTAAATAGCCAAAAGCTGACAATATGGCAGTAATAGGAGATCTTTGAAAGAGCATTTTGGGGAAACAAGGAGTCTCTGCCTCACAGCCACAATTACCCTGCTCAACTCCATTAAGGATTTTTTGTTTGTTCATGGTATGTGTCTGGTGCCGGCTAGCCTGGCACTTATTGTCCACTCCTTGTTGCACTTTAGAAGGAGGCAGTGAGCTGCTGTTGTCTTGAACTACTGCAATCATGTGGTGTAGATAACACCCACAACATTGTTAGGGAGACAATTCAAGGATTTTGATCCAATAGTATTGAAAAATGGTATGTTTCTTCGTGGGGATCTTGCAGGTGGTGGTATTCCTTTATTCTTTTACATGATTTGCAGGTTTGGAAGGTGCTAAGGAACCTCAGTGAGCTGTTGCAAGGCATTTTATAAAACATTACACACTGCTGCCACTATGTTTGCCAGTCAAGGGCATTCCTTTGTCCTGGAAAGTGTTAAACACCCTGAGTGTTGTTGGAGCTGCACTCACCGAAACAAGTGGAGAATATTCCATCAGAGTCCTGACTTGTGCCTTGCAGATGGTTAACAGGTTTTGAGAAGTCAGGAATAGAGTTACTCGCTGCAAGATTCCTATCCTCTGATCTCCTCTTTTAGCCATAGTATTTATTTAGTGATTTCAGTCCAGTTTCTGGTCAATGGCAACTCCGAGGATGTTGAAATTGAAAGCACAAAGGTGACACAGGTGTTTTTCAAACTTAAATTTCACTTGTAAATATTCACATTCCATTGATTTTACTGCATTGATGTGAGCATCATTGTCAGTTGTTGAGACTAATTTAGAGAATTACAGGCACATCTCATGGCTACAGCAGAGGTAGAGCATTTCCTTTATTGTGGAAGAAACCCATGGTTGTGTTTTTTTTTGTTTATTCCCTTTCGAATGTTCATGCTATAGTTTGGTGTTGTACTTATCACCCTGTGGAACATGTGGTAACTTGCAGCTTCAGATGACCCTTTCATTTTTTAAAAATTAACAGTTTAGTTGGATATTTCTTAATCATCCTATTCAGAGATGTTATGGCACACTCTGAAGGAGGTGGGACTTGAACCCAGGCCTCCTGGCTCAGAGGTAGGGACACTACTACTACTACACCAAATGAGTCCCTCTCTTCTGTATTGTTCATGACTGTCAACTAGGATAATTAAAATGATATGGCTGGGCACAAACCCTTGTGAGGACTCTGCCAGCCAACACCCTGGATACTCAAACGGGCAGATTCTGATAGCACTCTTTAGGCCCTTTCATTCCTTCCTTGTCTGCCCCTGCTACTAACCAACACAATCAGGATACCAGACCCATCTCACTTCACCTAACCATGCTCCTTACCCATCCTTTGCCTTCCTCTGGTTCCCTCTTCTACTCCTCCATGAACTCAACCTCGTGACATAGTCTGAGATAACAAGGTGTAGAGTTGGATGAACACAGCAGCCCAGGCAGCATCAGAGGAGCAGGAAGGCTGACGTTTCGGGCTCTACACCTTGTTATCTCAGATTCTCCAGCATCTGCAGTTCCTACTATCTCGTGCCATAGTCACCCATTTTTTCATACTGACTCAAAATTTTGCAGTCCAAGGAAGAATAATATATTCTGCTGCTCCCCTCCCTTTTGGTGTAGAGTGAATGAAAATTTCTGACCTTCCACACAACTTCACAAAGCCACCTTTACGTGAACAGATGCCACTGAAAAACTAGTTTTAAACAAGTGACTGTTCATGAAATGTGTGTATTATAAGCATGAACCGAGAGACCAGGACAAGGCTTGATGCACCAGTGAATTTCCCTTTGCAGCTCAACCCACATTCAGAAAATAGAGATACCCCACCTCATTAGGCCACATCACACACCTATTTTCCATCCTTCAGACTTCATAAATTCCCTGCCTCCCCACCCTATGATTGAATAATTACAATTTTTTTGAGTAGACTTTGAGTGTCTAGTATCATAGTGGGTGAATGATTCATTCTTGTAGAAGGACATGAGTGTAATAATTTTTCTTGTTAAAGGTGGTAAGACTGTTTAATACTATAACAATCCACTATGATATGAAAACTCAGTATAGTATGACAGTGCCAAGACTGTTATATTACTGCTTTGGGAACATTTTTTTTCAAAGAATCATAGAATCCCTACAGTGTGGAAACAGGCCCTTCGGCCCAACAAGTCCACACCGACCCTTGGAGCATCCCACCCAGATCTATTCCCCCTATAACACACCTAATCTATAGACCCCTGAACACTACAGGCAATTTAACTTAGCCAATCCACCTAACCTGCACATCTTTGGACTGTGGGAGGAAACCAGAGTACCCGGAGGAAACCCCCGCAGGCACGGGGAGAATGTACAAACTCCACACAAGACAGTTGCCCGAGGGTGGAATTGAAGTTGGGTCCCTGGCGCTGTGAGGCAGCAGTGCTAACCACTGAGCTGTTAACTTATCAGCAGAGTGAGAAAAAAATTATACACGCCTTCTGATTTATTGTTGCATTGCCAAATTGAATTCATTGCTGGCAGTTCTGCATCTTGGATTAACAAGTTATGCATCTAAGCCACAGTTGAGCACATAATCTATGCTAGGGCATAAGTGCAGTTACTGATAGGAGTGCCAAATTGTTGGAATTACTCTCTTCCCTGGCACTATTTGAATAAGAGTATGGACTTCCAAGATTCGTGCTTCAACTGACGCCACCTAGTTAATCATTCATCTCATTTGCTGTTTGTCAGGTTTTTCTATATGCAAAATTGGGTGCCTGCAAATTCTTCAAAAATAACTTACTGGATGGAAGAACCTTTACCATAGTGGATGAGAAAATCTGACATGGCATAAAACAGAGTGCCAATTTGCTGTCATTTTGCACAACAAGCATTACCTAATTTGGTCACCTCATAATTTACTTCAGAAGCTGTGATAGTTCTCTCTACATTAATTGAAAGAATACCTCAATAATCAAATAGGAATTTTATGTCTTTATATATCTTTGACATAATTTGAACTTTGTGTATCTTTGATATAAGTCACGCTGATAATAAGCTGAATTAATTACCAAATTCTGTTTTCTTCAAGGGACAGCTTCAGGAACCAATTCCCCATCTTCTATGTCTAACTCTGAAAATGCATCAACTATCAAAACTGAATCTGATCTGGCCTCATCTCCATATGCAGGTCAAACAGTTGTGTCTGTTTCTCAGGTAATGTAAGAGGAAATGCAATTTCCTTTGGTATTAAATGTGATCAAGCGTGTAACCTAAGAAAACAATTACATAAAACAGGTAGATTGATTATTTAGTAGTTGGAATAAGATAAACAATTACTAAGTCTTTGCATGTGGTTGGAAAATATCTCAAATGTAATTACTGAATTTTATTTTGTTAATGGATTAATTGTAAATGAGAAAAGTATTATCTTAGTGATCATAGAATAACATTTTGTAGGTATATAATAAGCTGCACTTATACTTCAAAGTTCAAAGCACAAAACTTAGTTGGAAAGGAATAAATATACATATTTATATAAAATAAATTATTCCTTACACCATTACTGGAAAAAGTTTAATGATTCTTATTTCTGTAGGCTCCATCCACAGCTATGTTAAGTCGAGAAGACTTGAACCGTGGTCCTTCACAATTGAAATATGTACCAGAAGATTATTCCTATACCTCAGCCACTGCAATCCCACAGACTGGAGTTAATGTTCCACTCAGACAAGACTCTTGGTGTGCTTTGGCACTGGCATAAAGTATGATCTTACAAATTTTCTACTTCTATCATTCAGAAGACCCAGATGCTGAAGGAGTTGAAAGAAATAACTTGAACCCATATATTTGCATGGCATATTTCTAATTGGTGAAGTATCACAAAAAACTCACATACCTGACCATCCCTACAAACACACTTGATTCCGGATGTAGGTACAAGCTTTATTGTGAATCAGTAAATTTCAACATCCCTGGCAACAAGCGATCAAGTGAAACGTATGCTGTTCATCTCAAATGTGAATGAAATCAAAACCATTCTTTCAAAGTGCCTTCTTGTGAACTATTTGTGAGTGCAATTAATTTCATTAGATCAGCAGTAATGACTGATCCTGTTAGGCTGAATAACTTAATAATTTAATGGGAAAGTGTGAACAGAAATTATTGTATGTTATGTTGAAATATTGGTTCTTTCGATGGACAGATATTTCACTTTTGCTTTGAATATTTTAATGTTATACTAAAAAGCATTCAGTTCCTTTTTTGTAATTGAACTGTTAAAATATTTTGCCTCTTCAAGAACAGATGAACCAATTCATCTATAATCTATAAATATATATTACAATTCAAGGCTTCCAATCTCTATACAGAAATATACAAAGATTGTTAATGGGGTAAAAAAAATGAACAGCATTTGACATGTATATTATGTTGTAGAAAGGTTATGTTAACAATACAAATGTTTTGCATATCCAAAAAAATACACAAGTTGTAACTACCTTTGAGACACTGTTTTAAAATGTGTTGTGAATAAAAGTGTAACCATGACAGCGTTTTTTTTTAGCAATTATTATCTAAGAGCTAAACTATGAACCAGATACTTATTATTGATTCATGAGTATTTAAGTTGAGTTATCTTGAGGTGCAACTAAGAATTTAGTCTGTAAACTGTAGACAATATCTCAATTAGTACACAAGATACCTCAAAATAATTTAAGACAGGTATTTTCCATTATTAATCATTTGCATTAAAAATGCTTCATTATGTGATTCTTATTTCATCTCTAATGGTTTATTCTGAATATTTATTAGCCAGTTGAAAATTGTACAAGCAAACATTGCTGTTACATCAATGGCAAATATCCCATAAACAGTTTGAACAAAAACATAGAACAAAGATCAGCACAGCACAGGAACAGACCCTTCATCCCACCAAGACTGCACAAACACATGATTCCTTTCTAAAATAAAAACTTTCTGCCTCTACATGCTAATATCCCACTATTCCCTGTCTCTTCATATATCTGTCAAAATGTCGCTTAAAAGTTGCTATTGTATCTGCTTCCACCACTGCCTCTAACAACACATTCCAGGCACTTACAACTCTCTGTGTAAAAGATTTGTCTCAGTTTAAACTTAACCTTTTTGCCTTAAACCTATGTTCCTTGCTAATTGACATTTCTACCTGGGAAAAAGATTCCAACTATCCATGCTATCCATGCCTTTCAATTTTGTGAACTTCTACCAGGTTGGCCCTCATTCTTCAACATTATGTGAAAACAGACCAAATTTGTGTAATTTCTCCCCATAGCTAAAACCCTCGAAACTATGCAACTTCCTGGTAAAATGTTTCTGTATCCTCTCCAATTCCTCCACATCCTTCTTGTACTGAGGCACGAGAACTGTACACAATATTCCAGATGTAGCCTAAATAAAGTTCTATACAGCTGCAACATGACTTGCTAGTTTTTATACTCTCTTCCCTGACCAATGAAAGCAAGCATGCTATATGCTTTCTTGACCACCTTATCCAAGCTATGTTGCAACTTTCAGGGAACTGTAAACCTGTACACCCAGATCCTTTGTTATGTTAACTCTCTGAAGGGTTCTGCTATTTGCTGTATACCTTCCCTCCTGCATTGGATCTTCCAAAATGCATCATGTCCCATTTGTCCAGATTAAACTTCATCTGCTATTTCTCTGTCCAAGCCTCCAGCCAATCTGTATCCTGCCATATCCTCTGGCAATCATCCTCACTGTCTACAGCTCTCCCAATCTGTGTCAGCCACAAAAGTACTAATCAGGCCACTTACATTCTCCTCCAAATATATGCTATATCTATTGTTTACTATTATATATATTGTAAACAACAGGATCCCAGCACTGATCACCGGTCACAGATCTCCAGTCAGAAAACACCCTTCCACATCTACCCTCTGTCTTCTATAAGTCAATTCTGTATCCATCTTACCAGCTCATCGTAGATCCCAACAACTGCTGCTAATAAAATAAGATTCAATAGAAATCAGAGGAATTGTTTTCCAAGCAATTTTGCAAAGTACTGAAATATGGAAAGAACTGACTACTAACATAAAATGACATGATAGTGAAGCTTGAGTTAAATGTGGGTTCTCTTGGATGATAAATGATATGGCAACTGTTTTTTTTAATTATGCAAAATATGGTGCCTAATTGCTACCATAATAAATTTAAACCAAATGATAAAACTAACTGCAAAGAACTAGAAAGAGATGATTAGTTTTAGAAAATACATAATTGAAGTGATTTGAGTATCACAATATGCCTCCTGTTATTGATCTTCAATTTACTGACTGTATCACACATTTTATACATTTTATCTAAGTAGAGTATTGTGCACATTTCAAAAGTCTAATTAGTTTATGATTGATATGGACAAGGAAATTATTACTTTCAGTACTTTGGCTGTCAAATGTTTCATCCTTGTAAGGCTGATAATAAATACAGATAATTACTGAACTCCACTGATGCTATATATTGAACAATTATTTTTACATTTACATGCTTTGCTTATTTTTCTTTCCATAATCTAGAGGTAAATATACCTTAAAATTAAAGATCAACTGATTTCCACCTTACTAAATATTTCTAAAACAATATTTAAATATTTCAATAATTTATTATAGCAAATTAGGATTTTAATCAGTTTTTCTCCCCTGAAACCTGTTTGTTAATCATCTGTTCAATCCTATTTGACGTCCAAATAGATATATCAATTAAATACATTGTGAAATAAAAACACCCAGACCACCCCCACCAAGGAACTTGTGGGCTTTCTCCTTGGCCTGGTCAATGGGTTCTAGGCTAGAACCAATCCCTTTATTCATTCATGGGATGAGGGCGTCGCTGGCTAGGCAGTGTTTATTTCCCATCCCTAATTGCCAGAGGACAGTTAAGAGTCAACCACATCGCTGTGGGTCTGGAGCCACATGTAGGCCAGACCAGGTAAGGATGGCAGTTTCCTTTCCTAAAGGGACATTATTGAACCAGATGGGTTTTCCAATAATTGGCAATGGATTCACGGATATCATTAGATTCTTAATTCCAGATATTTATTGAATTCAAATTCCACCATCTGCTGTGGTGGGATTTGAACCCAGGTCCCCAGAATGTATTTTTTGGTCTCTGGATTAACAGTCCAGTGATAATAACACTGGGCCATCACCTACCCCCCATTCATGAGGCTGATTACTCTGGTTGTGTCCCAAGATTTGATCTATATCTCAGTTATCCGTAGTCAAGGAGCACACTATATGCTTGAGGCCTTCAACAACTGATAGGCACTGCAGTGGGCCCAAGTGCATGGTCAACACTGGTTTAATAGAGTGATTTCAATTATTAAGTCCCCTTTCTTTTGTACAACTTTATAACATTTTTGGCCATTCTAAAAGTGGGTACTTTTTTTTGATTTCTTTGGGGGTGATGACATTAGAACAACCCAGTGGGTCTTCATAAGACCATAAGATATAGGAGCAGAATTAGGCCATTTGGCCTATCGAGCTTGCTCCATCATTTGATCATGGCAGGTATGCTTCTAAACCCCATTCTATTGCCTTCTGCCTGTAACTCTTGATCACCTTACTAATCAAGAACCTATTTATCTCTGTCTTAAATTACACTTAATGACTTGGCCTCCTCAACCTTCTGTGTCAATGAGTTCCACAGATTCACCATTCTTTGGCTGAAGAAACTCATCCTATTTCATTTTGAAAGGGTCGTTCCTTCCGTTGAAACTCAGAGTCCTCAACTGTTTCTCGTACAAGGATCATTCTTGAGAAACTTCTCTAGGCTCCCTCCAAAACTAACACCTCCTTCCTTAGATGCAAGGCTCAAACTGCACTCATGGATGAATTAAATAAGACATTCCCACCTCAGTCCTTTCTTATTGCTGGTGTTTTCGTTATCTGGATCTGTGTTAATTTCCTGCTCCTTATTATTGAGTGATCAGCAGGCCTAGAAAATATAGTTATTTGCTTCCAAACTTATCTCAGGTAAGGTCTGAAGATTTTATACTATAACAAATACTAATTTGTTAAAACTGACACCTATTCATTCCTTTGGCCAAAAGTGCAATTAGTAGCCAATCATGTAAAAAATAAACACCAAAAGCGTTACAAATAAACTTCTGACCGTGTTAGCTTTTCATGGACAGCTTTTCCCTGAAACTGGATTTGGAAGGTTTAAGTTTAAAATGTAGATATATGTTATTGAACTCAATTTTATATGGTATAGTAACTAAATTCTCAAATTACCGAGTTGGTAAATCCTATCTCAATCCTTGGGCAATCCCTCAGAATCAATGGGTTCTGAAAAGGTTTGTAAGCTCAACGTGTGATCTGCAACCTCATGTGGGGCAGGTAAAGGCTTGAAGAGTTGTGTGGATGAATTGTTTGGAAGCGAAATCTTTATACCCTATCTGAACGACTATTATGTATATTGTACCACTCCTCTAAATATTATCAATTACAAGGAGGAACAATGATGCAGGGAATGAAAGATATTTAAAATTAAATGCTCACCAAATTTGCTCACCAATTTAAACCAGACCACTGGATTTGCTGCTACAGTCTATTCTCTGTTCTACAATTATATTCGCAATTTACTTTCTTGCCTGAATTCCGAAGGGAAGGACTAGTGCAAGTAAAATGTATATCTGGACATTCCCATCCCCAATCACCAAATCGCTAAACATTCCCCTCCAGCCCTCCACCCACTCTCTCTCTCCATTTCTCCCCCACCCCTAGTTGAGCAGCTGAAGACACCCCATCCCCTGATGCAACAGCTGCAGTCCCGCTATCAAATTTTCACTCTTAAGTCATAAGAAACCTTGAGCATTGAAATTAAGCTAAACCAAGTAAAAGTTGGTGAAGCACTTATTTAAATCCATTGTCAAGCTGGATGAACAATGAAGCTTGGATGAATTCCAAGCTACACTAGTAGTAATCTCCCACTCAACAATTTCTCGTGACAGAAACTTTCTCTTTTTAATCATTTTTCCCCTAACATTTTGGCATCATTTCAGGGTAAAGTCTCATCAAATACTATTTCTAACTTACAATTCACCAAAGCTGTTCTTTCCTCATTTGAAAAGGCTTGAACAATGATTAGCCTTCCCTAAATTTGTCTCCCTCTTCTTTAATCAACAATCATCTGTACATTGTATGTCTTACTATCACTTCCTAGGATCCCTGCAGCCAAGGTTAAACTGGCCTCTGGTTTCCCTACGTTGTGCTGCTACCTTTCCTATGAGGTCGTCAAACCATTTGGATTGGAGGTATTGGTCAAAATGGTGAAAACTCACTGGATTCTAAAAGGGTTCCAGCAGATTGGAAAATGACCAATGTGATTCCCCGGTTCAAGAAGGCAGGGAGACAAAAATCAGAAAACTATAGGCCAGTTAACCTAGCATCTCTTGCTGGGAATATGCTAGAGTCCATTATGAAGAAACAAATAACAGGACACTTAAAGAAAACATAATCAAACAGAGTCAACATGGTTCAATTAAAGGG